CGTTTAACTAAATTTGACTTTACAAGCAGGTGGCAACCCTCTCCGTAATATTTGCACGCTAAAACCTTCTTATACTTCTTTCGCCTGACTTCTATATGGTGATACCTATCTATTTCAATAAACCTATTCCTTTAATTCCAATGGAATTTGATTTGTTTAACAGGTGGCAACCTTTTACATGTAGTTAAGAAATAAACCCTTTTCATGCACATTTCGATTGATAATTATCTCCTAAGAATTCATATAACTTATTAAAAAATTTAGATTTAATTTTTTAACAACTGGCAGCTCCCAAAAAACATAAACCTCTATTTTTACAGGTCAAGCTTTGTAATCAGATTCATGAATTAAAAAAAAATGAAAAAATGATTTTATACATTAGCAAAAAACGCATTACTACAAAAAGTGCAAAAAGTTGTCAGGTTTTTATTTCTTCTTTAGAAAACTAAAACCCCGTTTTATTTAATAAAATGATAAAAAAATAACACATTTTTACATACATATATTTTTTTCATTCCATTAAAATTTACCATTTTTTGAAATTTTGATTAAAAAACTTTTTATATAAAATACCGCAGGGACACCATGTGTTTAATTTTATTCCAAAATTTTTATTCCTGTAGCTCTCTACTATATATATGAAAATAAAAAACGTCAAACCAACATTTTATTTCAAAGAATGTATTTTTGACATTTGTTTCCGTGAATAGCTTACGCATGGCTATGCGCTTATCAATATTCTTATAGTGATTTCGTTTCTTCCAAAAAATGTTGCCCTTCCCCGATGCGAAATGTGTTTGATGTTACCCACAGCCCTGTAAAAGGGTGTGGTTATGCCTTCTTGTCCTTGTCTAACTCACGCATTTCGTAATATTGTCGTTTTAAACAACCATCTAATTTTCAGAGTGCAACATTGTAAGAAACGAACACACAATTTTCTCACCATTTGCATTTAATTTAGAATTGAACACGAAAAAGGAAAGGTGCATTAAAAATTCAAAATTTTTTGGTACAAACAAATCGCCATTACTATAAAATTTGTCCCCTTTAGTGGCTTCCTGGCGGCATATTATTTTATAGGAAAATTTCTGTTTAATTCTTTTTAGTGGATAAATTACCTTTACAAAAATACCAAACACATCCAAATTTTTCAATTTTTGCCCATTTATGGTTTGATTATGCATACTTCGCACAACTTCGCATAAACTTTAAATTGTATGTTCGTATGTACTTTGTATGTATTTTATACATATTCCATTACCTAGAAATTAGCAGAACTTTTAAAAACTTAGCGATCTGTTGAGTTTAGATTTTGCTTCACATTTTCTTAAGTTACATTCTTATTGCACTGGTTCAAATGGTTGTGCGGAGTTATGCGAAGTGTACATAATCAGACCTTTAGGCGGCACTGTGCTTCAAAGCGTGTTTGCCTTCACTATTTGCGTTCACTATTTGCTTTCAACTCAGCGCAGGGGTGCACGAAAAAAAAGTTGAATGCCTAAAAATATCAAAATATGAAAAATTATCAAAATATGGAAAAATATCAAAATATGAAAATATGAAAAAATATCAAAATATGAAAAATTTAAAAATATTCGCCATAAAAACGTGTTTGCATTGTTCAACTTTGCATTCAACTAAACGCTTACAACAAAGTTGGTCGCCAGCCAACATTTAGCCATTCAGCTTTTATTTCGTGCATCCCTGCGTTGAGTTCAACGCAAATGTTGAACGCAAAGTTGAACAATGCAAACACTGCTTAACGCCACGCAACATAACGCTTGTTATGAATTTGATGCAAGCGCCAATAGTCGAATAGTGCACAAACTAGTGCTATATTTATATACATACATATGTATGTAGAAAGGATGGCGGCGCTTTGCCTAATGCCGGATGGAGTGCTCGTGTACCTAAATACTGACAAGTACTCTGCTCGTCGTTGCGCGAGTCGCGCAACATGATGTGGCATAGCATGGCGTGGCATAATTTGAAGCGGCATGGCGTGCGATGATGGTGTGATGTAGGAGCGTGAAGGTAAATGGAGCAGCACAAAGCGGCAAAAAGTTAGCTGCTGTTGTCAATTCGACTATTCGAACAAAATGACAATGGCTCTGCGAAAATGTCTGTGGAATATTCGTGGAAGTTGATGTGCATGCATGTGTGTGTGTGTGTGTGAGGCAGCGTGTGTTTGCCCTACAATGCTGGATGTCACGAAAGTTATTACCTTTTTAGTATGGCATCTCACCCCGAGCGCAAGCCCATTCTCTAGGTGTATCAGTGCCTCGCTCGCCGGAACCGCCTACACCGTATTGCTCAACTATGAGGCTTGTTTTTGATTTTTTTAAGTATTTTTACAATTTGCTTCATTCGCCCCAGTTGGTTAGTTCATTTGGTGGTGCTGGTTGCATGTTCGCCTGTGCCGCTCTCCACTTGACAACCCAAATACCACCATTCAAAGCTCTCATTTCAAATGTTTAATATTTCGTTTCACTGGTACTACCAGGCTTCGTCGTGGTATTCCACTTCACACTTTAAATTTTTATTAGTTTGGGCACATTTCCTTACACATTTTGCTCGTTCTTTAAAATTTAAGCTGGACCAGCGTTTTCTAGCTTTTTCGTTTAATTTATGAGGTTGTGCTTTACGTACACGTGTTTCTAAATATTTTAAGTCTACGTATGTACAAAAAATTTTTCCATAAAAAAATTTATATTCATTTGGCCACAACAAAAAATATGAAACCCAGGTGTGAAGTAAATTAAAAGTTTTGGCTGCTCGCCGCCAATACACGCAAATAAGCCCAAAGTCTTCAATTGTCGCGATATTAGGAAAACAAATTTCTATCGACATAACAGCAATTTTTGGGACATTTGCCAAAGTTTGCGGTAAAGTTTTGATTAAGTTTGAAAATTTTTTAAGTCTTTGTAAGTTTTTCAACTTTTTGTTATTGTCTGTGTTTGAAACTAGGTTTTTTTCCAACAGTTGACACGTGAACTGAATTTATCATGCTGCATTTATGCCAATACTGCTTTGGTTTATAGTCCAAAAGCCTCAATAGTTTGAGTAATTTTTTACCAGAATACGGTGACTCCACTGAAAAGACACATACATTGACTTGTTGACGGTTTTAAACTTTTAAACTTGGCAAACGAGAAAGGGAGAGGGAGGCCTTTTTTTTTGATTTTCGTCTAGACCGCTAAATGCAAACGTGCGTAGTAGCAAAATTTAACTTCGATTCTCACAACAGAACTTTGAAGAATTAAGAAGAACTTTCCCAGCGCAAAACTTGCGCTCTTCACTCGACATGTCATCAATTGCATGAAAGCATAACGAGCATCTAGAAGCCCCCCAAGAAGCCAACCTCGTCCAGGCAACCAATGTTATCACCGTACGAAACAGAATCTGGAACACAAACTCAAACTGGTAGCAGACAAACCAAAGTCCTACTCGAGTAATGGAAACAAAAAATAGCCTGACTGCTAACTTGCAGCCCAGATAAGCTTGCCCAAAAAAATTGTCAAGATAGGGTCGTTAAAGGGTAAAGGATAAACCGATATTACAAAGGTAGGACAGCGCAAAACAAAAAATAAATAGCAGTGTTTCGAGTCGCCTCCTTGACGAACTTGCCGTGTTGGTCATGCTTGGCTTAAGGATCCAGGACATAGTTCCACGCATTTAAACGAGGATCATATGTCCGAGACATTAACTTCACATATCGTAGATGCGCTCTACGTGTGTGCCCTGCATTCCGAATGGTGTTGCAGGTAAACAGTACAGCTACGACGCAGAAACGAACGAACACAGCGATTAAAGGTAGAGACTTGTTAACGTATAAAGTGCGGATTGAGGCTAGGAACAAAGACGTTCGTACTGAGATGACTGACAATGTCGGCCTTGACTTTTTCGAGGAATTCCATCACAGCGACGGTGTTAAGGACTCCGATGCTATGTAGTATACATTTAGGCGCTAGGTGTTAATAATCGCCTAAGCCAGTGGTCGGCAGGCAAGCTCTCGCACGTATACAAGGAGCGCTAGCTGATCAGTGCTTTTAACGCACTCAGTCTCACTTATTAATCATTTGAAGGTGTTAGTATGGCGACCACTGGCCCAAAACAATGGGTTTATCTGAAATATGAAGCACCAATGGGACGGGAGAGCGCATTGATATAGATTTCGAAGACAGAATACTTTCGGCTTTGAGTTTAGGTATCTCGTTAAATGAAACTATCCAAGCAGAAACCTGAACGCTGTGAGGCTTCATTCAATACATAATAACTCCCTATCCGATTTTCTTTTCAAATTTAAATATTTCATTTTTATTCGCATAGAGAAAGCATTTCGTATCACTTTTTCATGCTTCCACGAACACAAAACTTTGTGGGCAATTTTAAGCCAGAAATTGAACTTCCACTTCCTTTTAACTACTAGCTACAAATAATGCCATCTAATCGCATCCAATCGCTTCAAAGTACACCGCAGAATATTTCCAGTTTTAATGTCCTATTTTCGTGGCTGAGTGATAGCTGCAGAGCCTCGTAGAGCCAGCGACTATCGGTCATATTTACTAAAAATTTCCATTTTGGGCACCACTCCTTGCCTTTCCTTTCATGCATATATGTATGTAGTTAAATGCATACTTTTAAATAAAAACTCTACCTGGGTGTGTATGTGTTTTGCTAGCTATTAAAGCGAGAGGTATGTATGTACCTGTGTGCACCAACGAGATTTGCAAATTTTTTTCTATTTTGCAGAAACCACACAAAACGCACAAAGATTGAAAGCAACCACAACAAAAAAAAAAACACCACCGCGTTCGAATAAAGTTCCAACTGCACGGCTAGTAGGGTATCTTAACAACCCCATTATAGCTTAGCGAAAGTAAGGAAAATCAAC